AACACATATGTTTGAATCCCATTTACTGGCTTTGGTGAGCTATGGCTGATTTAGCTCACCTTAGTCATGACCACCCGATTATTTTTTGAACTGTGAAAGTGATGTGTATGTGTAAATACATACCTGTCTAAAATTCCATAGTAGTAGGCTGGAGAGAATTAGACTGGATAGGCTCTGAATTGATTTAAAATCAATGGGCTCTGAATTGATTTAACGTCTTTAATGAAACACTAAGTATAACTGCTTCATTGGTTCTCTTAAATACTTCCCATGAAAAGATTTGCTCATTCCCTATAGTGAAAGTGTGCTGAGTGTTATATTTGCTTAAATGAAAAATGGTTTCAAAATGCTATTGCATTCTGCTGCTGAGGACCCTCTCCCCTTCCTAAGAATATATATAGGACTGCTTATATTCTAAATGTTGGGGTTTTTTACCAATTTTGCCCAGTCATGGAGTTCTTATAACAAGTTTATTCATTTTCTGTATATGTGAGTTGTTTTTTGGATTAGTTGTGGGGTTTTTTCAGCCACAGCTGAACCATTTTTCAGTTATCAGTATTGCTGGTTCAGGGGTGCCAAAATCAAAAACCTACACCAGAAACGATAATTTAAGGGGATAAAAAAGACCTAGAAACAGCTTAAAAGGTTTGAACTGTCATTCTTTATTTTCTTTTTATTTATTTAGATCTCTTATGGTATGTTTGAGTCACATTTTCCTGTAGTTCTCTGATACTAAGGAGGCTTAGAATTACAGTTTATGTATTTTCATGCAAGTTGAGATTATTATGTAGTCATATGCTGGGGCTTTAATAAAATCACCAGATAGAAGAACTGCATTTAGAGAGGTGAGAGCTGCAGGCATTAGTTTTTAAATGTCTTTGCTCTGCTTTGGCATGGGTATGTCAGATATCTAATGCAAACGGTCCCTTGTATCATTCCTTACATGTTTGCAGGTATCATTGCATTAGCAAACATCTGGCTTACATTTAAAATTTGAATTTACAACCATGAGGTGTAAAGACTTTGCGGTGTTTATAGTGAAAACCTGAGTTTTAGAGCACAGGCTACCACCCTGGATATTCAGAGTGAGCTAGCCCCATTTCACTTTTTTTTGATTTTTGGTATTAGGGTCTTCTTTATTCCTACCTCCTCTTCCATTCACAGTTCTCCCACTCAGCTGGGCTAGGGGAGTCTGTTTGCCCTGGACACTTGTGACTCAGTTAATAGGGTGGAGTTGGTTGGCTTTAGCAAAGCCCATGGTTTTGTGCATTCTTAAACACACAAGAGTTGTTCTTGTTGCTGAAAGCTACTTTCGCCTTTAAGTGTTCAAACTGTCAGAGCTGCATTTCCAGGACCATTTTAGATGAAATGTAAAGTAGATACTTTCTTACTGAGAAAGACTGTAGGCATATAAGCTGTGTAGGAGTTTGATTTTGATTTTATCTCTTGTTCTGCTGCTGGTACACTCAGTCTCAGCAGCCTGGTCAGTAAGAATGATAAAGAAAAGTAATTGAATGGTGTAAGGCTGTTTATCATCACTCTGGACTAAACTGATTCACAGTAATTTTTAGAGGAGGTGGTGAGGACTGGAGCAAACCCTTCAATTAGTGATAGATAGAAATCTCTCTACTTCTAAATGTGTTTTTGTGTCTGTATCTCCATTTTTATGCATGCATCAATGAATTTTTATATATTTTCTGATTTTAGAAGATTGACTCAGACTCAGGTGGATTTATGCACACACACACTCTTTATGTTTCTGAGTGATTGTGGTTGGTTGAGGGTTTTTTTGTTTTAATACAGTTTTCTTCATCTTTTCATTTCTATAAAGCTTGTGGAAATTGTGATTTCCAAGTAGCCTGATAGATCAGGCATACTCACAATCCTCCTTTTCTGCATATATTACTCCAGCACCTGCTGTTTGTCCATTCAAAGAAAATCTTTCCCAGGTTCAGGAGCCATCTAGCACAGCGTGGCTTGTTGAGCTAAAGGGTGTCATACGAGGCAATCATCCCCCTATGAGATGTTGGCCTGGAAGAGGTTTTGTTACAACTTGTTTTGGGTTTTGTCTTCTGTCTTAAAGCCTGAAGCCCTTTTATAAGTGTGATATGCTTTTCATTATATGTTTTCCTCCCTCACTCCTTTGTTATTATGGAGCATTGCAGATATGCCAAGAACATTCTAGCATTAGACGAAAACTCTTTAAAAACAAAAACGTTTTAAAGCCAAGTAAGCTTTAGTAGGTTCTAAAAACAGGAGAAAAAGGTTGGCTTCATAGGGTCATGACTTTTATTAACATGTTCTAAAATGGCTAGAATTGGCAAGGTCTCTTACCATTTTAGAACTCTTCCTTTGCTTCTTCATGCAGGTTATAACCACAGGGTTAACTCAGTAGAGCATCTTGACGTAGTACTTGACATACAAAGAGAGAATGATGGTGCTGAAATCCTTTTATGCTAGGGACAATGGATCTATCAGCACAAATACAAATGTGTCTGATTCCACAAAGGCACATTTATATAGAAATTAAATGAAATGTGCATTGTGTAATTTGCTACAAGGAGTTAGCAGTTTGCTAATAAAACCGTGCCAGAATAAGCAAGATGTTGTTCCATTAGTTTCAATGGGTTTGTGACCAATTGCTTCATCAGTGCCTTTGGCCTCTCTTCCATAAGTGATTTTGATAGATGCTGAGAAATAGAGCAAGGATGAGTTGTTACAGCCTTCATACTCCTTTTTCTTCTGTAACATTAGCAGCTGCTGCTGCAACATTCGGTCAGTGAAGCACCCCAGGATTGCCCACACCTGGTTGAGAAGGAGGGCCACGGATGGGGGGCCTGGTTTAAAAAGGTACCTGCAAGGTGTGGAGCAGGAGGAGGAGCAGTGGAGCTGAGCAGGTTGTGGCTGGGGAAGCACAGGAGAGCACCCCAAGAGCTGAAAAACTCTGCGTGGAGATGCGAAGCACCAGGCAGTAACTGGGGAGCAGGGTGGGCAAACTGTGCCTGAAGAAGCATGAAGGACTTGATTTGGGCTTGAAGTTTGGTGCTGATCACAGGTAACCAACTCTAGCATACGTCAGTCTGGTTTCCTGGGACTGACTTGACTGGGAGCATCCCTACACCTCCTCTTATAGGAGCAATAACTCCAAGCTTAACTTTTAACTACATTTCTTATTTTTCGTGGAAGTAGTAGAGCAATCCTTCACTTTTCAGTAAACTACAGATTCAATGAGGATAGGAGCATGAAATAACCTGGCAATGGGATCCTGTGCTACACTTGGTTTTGAGGGTGTGATGTGGGCTGCCAAATGTCTGTAGAGCCTGGAGAACCACAGTAACCATGGTCAGGCCTGCCACATTAATCCTTTGTTCTTTATTGAGGAATAACAGGCATAATTTTTGTGTAAATTTCAGTGGTAGGAAGTTGTAGGTAAAGCTATCCCTTATCATGCTGGGAATCGCGGGTGGTCAGTTTCATGCTAAATTAATTTTTCTGTAGCCAAGTAAATTAAGAAAGTGGGCCCCACTTTGCCACAAGGCACAGGGGCTGAGGAGTTAAAACTGAAGAGGTTTTCTTAGGCCAATGTGGCAGGAGCCGGGGGGAAGCACAGGTATGAAGGTTTTGGCAGAAGTTCTGTAAAGCACATAACCTCTGGTAGATGCATCTCTTCTGAGCTTTTGCAGGCTGGTTATTTACTGAGAGGGCAGCTTTTGTAAATATCAAAGCTCAGTTTTCATACAGTAATGGGCAAGCATAACAGTATGGAGTAAGAAACCTGGCACTGCCAGTGTTTCCACCAACAGTAGATGGAAAAAGGAAGTACTTGCAGCAGACTGAGGGGGTCAGTCGTGAGGCTGTATCAGGTTAAAAAAACCGTGTGACATTTCTGATCTTTGATGCCTATCTGCATGTGCGGTTTGCCTCCAGTTATGGGGATAGGTAATTGTAAGCAGTAAAGAAATGAAGGGGTCCTTAGAGATAGAAAAGATAAGGAACAGTTGATGGTGAAGATAAAGGTTTTATATGAGATGTATGTGACTTTCCTCATCTTTCAAGATAATTTTAGTCGCTTACCCTGGGATGGGTGGTTCAGGGTTGGACTAGGTGGTTGGACTAGATGATCTTTTGAGGTCCCTTCTAACTCCAACATTCTGTGTTTCTGTGTGATTCTGTGAAAGCGTATTCTGCAATAAGCGTAGGTTGTACATCTTGTTGCCTTCTGACCTGGGAGAAGGGATTTCCTTTGAGAAAGAATGCTGGGGAAAAAAAAGGCAAGAAAACGTTTGTGCCTTTAAGTCGTTACATGTCACATTAACCCTCCTATCTTTCATTCAGATATATTTATATTTGCATTAACCTTTGCTCGTATGAGTAAGAAAAAGCATTACCCAGAAGACATTCCTGAGTAGCTGAACCAAAAAACCCCCACAGCTCACAGGCTAGAACACACACAAGAACTCGTCATCTCTAAACTCTCTTTGCTTTCCTCTGCAATGTAATGACTCCAACCTGTTTTCCTTTAGAGGGTGTTACCTCTGCTTTTTTATTACACTGAGAATAATTCAGTGGTGAGGCAGAATTAAAGCTGTTGCTAGCTTTCATGCCTGGTATAAAACATACATTGCTGTTTAATCAGATGTCCCCTATTTGTTTGGTTTTTCTAATCTCCTTGTTGATATATCAGCTCCTCTTTTGGCAGATCAGTATTAAATATTTGGCTAAAGCTGGATTTATGGCAGTGGGAATTCCATTGGCATGAACAGAGTTGTGGTGCTGGATGTTGTTTTGGCTCTGAATGTAAAGGGACAGAGTTACATAGTAACAACTCCCAATTCCTCTCACTCTCCTTATGAAGCAAAATATTGTGTGAAATAAATAGTAAAAGCAAACCTGTTTTCTTTCAAAGAAAATGTGTAATGGATATAAAAGTGTGAATGTTTTAATTAATGCTGATGAGTGCAATTTCACACCTACCCATGCTTTTCTTTGTTTTTCAGCTCATGGGGCATTCTGAATGGGATCACAAACGAGGACCCAGAGGCTCACAGGTCAGTTGCTCGTATTTTGTGTTTGGTTTTTGGCTTTTTGTAGGTTTGAGATATTCAAGCAAGTTTTCCATCTTATTTCCATCTAGATTGTCAAAGTTGTTAATTTTGCTAATGTTTACAGGATTGACCCAATGGAAAAAAACCATAAAACCATGACAGCTTTCATTAATATAATTTTTGAGCAATAATCCAAACAGTTTATCCAGGCAGAGCTGAGTAATGCAGCAGAAAATTTCTTTCAGTAGCAGAAAGATGGATTAGATGTATTGGGAAAGTGTTTCTTACTCATCTGTCTCCATTAGGATATCAAAGGAATGTGATTTCAAGTAATGTGTGTATGTTTTGTGAGGTTTGGGGTTTTGAGCTTGACAAACTTGTAGGACGTTGATGGCCCTCTCACCTAGTTCGATAAAAAAGGCTTAGAGTTAGAACTATGTAGGGAGACACAGGAAAGCCATGTGTAGCTACTGCTTTGCTCTTGACACGTCACTGAGGGGAAGTTATAGTAGTAACGTTACTGACATCAGTTTCTGCAAAGAAGACATTGCTACAAATATTGATGTAGAGGAATTGTCCTCCTTGGATAAAGCACCTGATGTTGAAATTACTTAAATACATTATTAGAGCTCCAGTATTTTAGAATTGCTTTTCCTTCAGATGGAAGGGTTTTTACATGAATAAGAGCATCTGTGTCTAAATTGGTAATAAACAAGCTCTGCTGCTGTAAAGCTACATGTTTGCAACCTTAATCTCAGTAGAGTAGTTCCTAGCCTAACCTTGATAATGCCCCTTACAAAAATCACTAGAGTACCTCCCTTTTTAAGGAGAAAATATATGATAATCAGGAGACTGCTACTTATTATAATATGCAAGATTTACTATTTTATAATGTAAAATTAATTTATTAATTTTTTACCCTTATTGTTGAAGAATCCTACTGGATTTTTTTTCCCCTGAAATTTTCTAAGCTTCAGTCTTGCATCTTATTTCAAAACCATCTTGAAATTTGCAGGAAATTCAGTATTCCATTGCCCATTTTAAGATGGATTGCAGGTTTTGTTTTCAGATCAATCTGTCATTTCAAAAAGGTTAAAAAACCAACCAAACAAGCAAAACCCCACCAAAACAGAAAGCAAACTAGTTTTCTGTGGAAACTGAGGAATTTCAGAAATCAGGGAAATCCTATCCAGTAAGGTGAGAACTGTTCAGTCCGTAATCCTTCCAGCTTCATCTGGCATGGTAGTCAATCATGTTGTGTTATTCTGGTCCAAAGAGTGGAAGGTAAATTGGACTTCTCTGAAGTTCAGGGGAAGGCAGTCACTCAAAGGACTCAAAGGTGACTTAGACTTGCTAAACTTTTCTAGCGTTATCACATAGCTTCATCTAATATTTGTATGCATCTAGCAATATGAGTAGTCTGTTGCATGCTCTGAACCATCTTCTATAGTACTAACACTTTACCTGTGACAGCAAAATATTTAGGAACTGCTGACAGGAGTGCATATCAACTCTGCACCAGTGTTGCATCAGAGGCAGAGGGCTGAGACCTGTTGAAGTCCTCATGCCTGATACATCCTGCTGGCTATGTGCCCACAAGCTTTCAAGGGTTTCTTTTGTTGTCAGCTAGACATTTTTGAAGGTTTACAGCTAGCCAGTAAGAAACATTAGAGAGAGGGATTTAGGTAGAAGGTAAGTGGAATCAATCTGATGGAATTAAAAATAAAAGGTAAGGCAGGTCAAGCCGACTATCAAAAATGTATCTTGATGCAGGAAATTGTATCTTGGCTGTTAAACAGATCTCTCTTGAGTTTTCTGAAAAAGTGAATTCCCGCAATGAAATAGTTACCAGGGATTTTTTTTTTAATTATTTGTTCTCATGAGCCTATGGTTTCCTCCTATATTGCCTGGTTTCTCTATCCGTCCCTTCCTGAGGATAAGGAGGACTTGCTTGACATGGCCTAGTTTTAAAGGAAGAGGTCTCATGGGCATTAACTCACTTGCTGAAAATGCCAATCTACATATTAAGTGCAAGTAAAACTGTGTGTTGTTTACTGTTAGAGAAGGTTGTACTTGGGCAAAATGAAATAACTGGCTACTAAACACACAGATGAAATTCTCTGGGTTTCAGTAGAGGCTAAGGAGGTAATTGTGAGAAGATTATATAAATTTTGAAATTCTTCCTGTCTTTGTTTCTTCCTTGCATGATGTTTTTAGATACTCCACCACCATTTTGTATTTAAAAAAAAAAAAAAAAAGGTTGAGGAGTTCAGTGGAATTCTCTGCGGGTCAACCTTCAGTTGTTTGAATCTCTCCTGAAGAATAGTATTGAATATTATGTTTATTAAAAACATTATTCTAGAAAATTCTATATCAGATTTTCATTTAGAAGGCTCCCACTGATTATTTTTTCCCTTAGGCAGAATGTCTTTTGTTTTTTTAACAAAATAAGCAAAAGATACTTCAAGCTCAAAAGTGCATTTCTTCAAAACAGGATAAAATCTATATATGTAGGATTTCCTTGACAAAAAAAGTGAGATGTTTCCTTTTAAATCCATCTAAAAAGAAGTGCATAATCATTTTAATCCTGTAAGCACTCTCTTTATTTGGTTTTGGCTGTGTATAGGTGTTCTGCAAAGCTTGTTGAAAGCTACTTGTTATAAACTTGGAAGAACCTTGTAAATCTACCAATCATTATGTACCATAGAAATGTTAAAAGATCTTGAATAGAGTGGGAAAATGACTCAAGTTCTCTGATTGCTGTGTGGTATCCTAGTACCCAGTCACAAGAAGGAAGGAAGTTTCATTGGTGGAAGAAAATGAGCCTCAGTTATCCCACTGTAGCTGCAGACTCTCTCTTTTACATGGATTTGAAAACTGTCTTTGACATAAATAATGTTGAACCTAATTTAATTAGTTCCTTGAAAGGTTAGGAGAAATTTAGGAGGTTCTGATTTTTGCATGTAATATAAAAGACCAGGTTTATCCTTTTGTGATTCGGTTCCTTCAAGTCTAACACATCAGATGTTTAAGGATGGACTGGCAATTGTCTTCAGGATCTGCCACGGGGTTGCCTATGGTCTTTCACAAAGTCTGTGGGACTTTCCTCCTGCAGAGAAATGGGACTTGGGAGGAGAGGTCTCTCCTGCGCTGCTCTGGCAAGCGGCAAGAGGGAAGGTCAGGGTTTAGGGGTTATGTGGTTTGGAGCCAAATTATTAGTCTTCTATGATATTTTAATTCTTACAGAGTAAAGTGAAGAAAGTGGAAAGATGTATCTTAGCAAGCTACCTGCTTGTGTGAATGTTAATAACGTTGCTTAGGAGAAAAGGAAGTGAAACCACTGGCTTACCGTAATATAAAACTAAAATCCACATATAAACTCATAAAATTATTCTACCAAGACTCATTAAACAAAACTTTAACTACGTTAAGATTTTTTCTAAGAACTAGTAGCTTTTTTTATGGTATGTGTTGACACATGAGAGGAAACTACTACAGTGCATGTCATACTTCTTAATGACCCACTTGGAAAATATGTTCTTTTTCTGCATGTGGGAGTTAAATGCAAAGTGATGTAGCAACAGGTAGTGATGGATGTCAGATTAAATACACTGAGGCTTATGGGAATTTCTGTTTCCAGGAGTTTGTAAACGGGACAAATAAAAAGCTGTCATCACAATGCTTAACTTGCTCCCAACTTCCACACCAACACATATATGTATATTGCGTGTATGTGTTCATGTTGTAGGATTCCTTTTCTTATACAATAATTATACTAAGGCTGCTATAATTAGATTGAAATATAGGTTGCTTTACAAACAGCAGTGTGTTCCTACCTACATCTTTCTTTTTTTCTATTCCCTCTGTTTTTTGATCTCTGAAAATTACACTTCCTGCTGTAAATGCTTCATGCAGAGAGCTTGCTCTCTGGATTTGAAATCATGCAGACAGTGCAAAGTGAATTTCATTATGTTCCGTGCTAAATTTTTAGAATTAATGCAGTTGAGGATTTAGGCATGAAACTTCAAAACTGAACTCAGAGTTAAAGAAATTCCAAAATATTTAGGAATGTTTAACCCACCTAAAGAAATCTTTCACTCAAATATGTACACATGCAATCTATAAAACCACTTCATTTCATTCATGTGAGGGGAAAATATTCAGACCCATTTCTAATAGCAGTACATGCTATAAGAAAATGTGGCTAGCAAAATTAATCCTTGGCATATTAAGCCTCTGCAGAAAAAATATGCAAACTGTATTTTAATTATTTCACTAAAACGTAACACTTGATACTTCTAAGATATTTCATGTGAGACCCACAGCACGCTCTGTGTGCACGGTTTTTGAAGGGACCTTGAATGTGTGGGAGTTATTTGTTGCTCTGTCATCAAGACTTGTTTGGCTTGCCGAAGGTGTAGGCGTAGCCCCCGGAGTCAGTGGAAACGAGCAATCATTCCTCCAGCATTATAAAAGGATGATAATTGGGAGGGAAACACAGAGGTCCAGTGTTTTTAATTCTCTTTAAATATAAAAGCTCTCCATTATATATCTGAGGTGCTGCATTTTACCCCTCCAGTTCCTAAGCAACAGCTATTTTCAGATTGAGTGCGTCTGGTGTTGTCTACCTACTTCAGGCTTTTGCGAGGTAATTTGTCAGTGAAAGCTAAGCTTTTCACTATCTCGCCCGATTCCCTTTGTCGTGGTACTACAAGGCAACAGACGTTTTAGCAAAGCAGGAGAAGCTTGGATGTAACCAGTCTCAACCTTGCAACTCACAAAAACTTGTGTACATCGGGGAGCTCTGCCATCTACAGCAATGAAGCACGGGAGTCAGAAGTAAGGTCCTTGACACTGGTTTGGGAGAAGCCTTTTTCTCAAGTGTGGAAAAATCTCTAGAGCAGATCTAAAATCATGAGCCGGAAATCTCTGTACTTGCTGAAGCGTAGATGGGAGTCCATTCCCGCTACTGACCAGGTACTGTGCTCTGGTGAATCTGTCAT